GTTGGAGATGTCTCTAAGGTCATTTAGACCAGCACTGTCCAACAGAAATAAAATAAAGTCACAAAGGTAAGTTACACATGTAATTTAAAATTTTCTTGTAGCCACATTCAAATGAATTTTTTAAAAAACAACAGTGAAAATGATTATAACATTTTATCTAACCCAATATATCTAAACTATTATTTCAACATGTAATCAATATAAAAACTTATTAAGATGTTGTACATTCCCTTTTCCATACTAAGTCCTTGAAATCCAATGTGCATGTAAGCTTACAGCACATCTCAGTTGGGCCCGGCCACATGTGACGAGTGGCTGCTGTTCTGGACAGTACAAGTCTAGACAAACCATCACTTTTATGATGAGGAAACAGGCTCAAAAAAACCCAACACAAATATTTACAAAATGTCCTGGGCGCCTATTTTAGGATTTCCTATACCATGTTACCGAGATGCTATTTGTGACAAAGAACTTGAGCAACCAGTTTGTCAAAGGCGGCAGGACCAAATGCAGTGACCTTAGACAGGAAGAGTCTGAAAAGAGGACAAGTAGAGAGGTGCTGAGGTCGCATAAACGCTCTGATGGACCATGAAGGCAGGCTTTTCCCAGGAGGGTGGAAGGTGAGGGAAGGTTTAAGAGAAAGTTGGCAACTGGAGGTAAAAAAAAAAAAAAAAAAATCAGGCTGAAGACCCCTAGCGGTCTTTGTCTCTCCTACTACCTATTTCCATCTTCTGTTCCACCACTCAGGCAGCCGAACTCTCCATCAAGTTTCTGCCTCCCCAACGCAGTCTGGAAGTAGTTCGGGCTATAGGACCCCAGCTGATTGGAATTGGAAAGCACAGTGCAGTAAGTAGGGTGCTGGGACTGAAAAGACAGATTTCACAGAGATGGGTAGAATGGTGACATCTACACCCAGGAAGGTGCATGAGGTGGGTGGGCCTCTTGGCGCTGGTGGCAGGCAGTTCTGGGGAAACAGAGGGAAGAGTTCACAGAGGGGGAAACAGAGGTGAGGAGGAGAAAGACGGTCTCCATCTCTATTTCCCACCATGAAGGCTGCAGAGCTCTATCTGAACCTGGACCTAGTCAAGGAAGCCATCGATGCTTTCATGGAGGGTGAGGAGTGGAACAAGGCCAAGCGTGTGGCCAAGGAGTTAGATCCCCGGTGAGTTCATATCCCCCTTCTCTCTGAGAAATTTTCTTACTTCCTTTTAAAATGGGAGAAAGTTCTCATGGGAAGGGTATGACCATGAGACCACCCCGGGACCATGAAGTTTTTTCTCTCTGTACATCTTCACAGGTATGAAGACTATGTGGACCAGCATTATAAAGATTTCCTCAAGAACCAGGGCAAAGTGGACTCGGTGAGACTTGTGGAGTTAACAGGAGACAGAACACACACAGAGACTCAAGAGATTCTCTCCCTCTTCTCCCCTTCATGTCATATCTCTCCCCTAACTCTTTTTCCATTGATCCACAGCTGGTGGGTGTAGATGTGGTGGCTGCTTTGGACCTGTATGTGGAGCAGGGCCAGTGGGACAAGTGCATTGAAACAGCTACCAAGCAGGTACTGCTCTCTATTCCCATTCCCAGCTCTTCTGTACAAGTTCCCTGGACTCCACACCTGTCCCAGAGCTCTCTCTCCTACTCCTCTAAACCCAAAAGATGACTAATCAGCATCCAAGAGCTTAGTCATACATTGGGATCAGAGGCCAAGCTGGCCTTTTGCCTCCTAAGCACATCCACAGCCTCGAGTCACCACCCGACCCTCAATGCCTGGTCTTACTGATCCCACCTCCCCCGTGCTTCTCCTCCACCCCTGGAACAGAACTACAAGATTCTGCACAAGTACGTGGCTCTGTATGCAACTCACCTGATCCGAGAGGGCGACTGTGCCCAGGCCCTGGCCCTGTACGTGCAACACGGAGCCCCTGCGAACCCACAGGTACCAGCTTGCTCCTTGGGATGTTTCCTCCGGAAAACTGTTTCCCTCTCCTCGAGAACCTCCCTGCCCTCAGGAACTGCCTTTGCTAAGGATTCTTTGATCAGTATCGTGCCCAGGGACCCCACCCAGTCTCTTCCAAAATGTACAGCCCCTCTGGAGGGTTTACCCACTGAGGCACCAACCTCCCAAGCTTTTAGCCAACACACAGGAACAGGAAGGGCCTAGGAGCTTGGGAAGAAAGTAATGGTAACAAGCCTGTGGGGGGGGGGGGTGAGGGGGGGCTGGGGGGGGTCAGGAGAGAAGAGGGAGGGAAAGGCACAGGCATGCTCCTGGGGGAGCACGCTCTGGGTCCTCGGTTGTAAGGGTTTTAGGGTGGAGATCTTAGGGGAAGTCTCAGGGGAAGATCTCAAAAGACAATGCAGCAGCTTTCCAGGTGTGTCTAGTTCTCCACTGATTGTCAGCGCCTGGGGATGGGGGTTCATTATCCAATGCAGCTGGACCTGAGGTCCCTACACACAACTCTAGGGCCGATTTCCCCCAGTGAATGAACAGGGCTCTCATATCTGAGCATCACAGTTTCCTGGAGTATTAGCCCGTTCACAGACTGCATTCACATTCACATATTTGCCCAGTCACAGATCACCAGTTAGTAGGAAATAGTTCTTTTTACATCCAGCAACCTAAAAGGTTACTTCTTGAAATAGTTCTTTTTTTACTCCTGTCCTTTCTCCATCATTGTCTCCTAGCTCCTCCACACACACATTTACAGCCTTTTTTCCTCTCTTTGACCCAACTTCCAATGACTTTGTCCCCTTCTCACTCGGCTCTTTTTACCCCTCTACCTTCAGAACTTCAACATCTACAAAAGGATTTTCACTGACATGGTGAACTCACCTGGGACCAACAGTGCTGAGGCCTACCACAGTTGGGCTGACCTTCGGGATGTCCTCTTCAACCTGGTGAGGAAGTCGGGTCCACAACAGTGGACCGCCTGTTACTGTCCTCGTCTCGTCTTTCATGCACATGAATCTTTACCCTCTCATGTACTGCACCTCCCTGCGTCCAGATGGCCACCAGTTGACCACTCTCTGGCCCTGGTACTCCTCTGATCCCTGACCCAGACTATGCTCTGTCTGCTCTAGTGTGAAAACCTGGTGAAGTCCAGTGAGGCAAACTCTCCAGCACATGAGGAGTTTGAGACAATGCTGCTGATCGCTCATTACTATGCCACTCGCTCTGCGGCCCAGAGTATCAAACAGCTGGTGAGATGGATGGGGGAGAAGCACTCAGTCTTATGGACGTTTCTTCAAATGTATGAAGTTGAATGAATTCAAGTTCTGGATTTTCAACCCTCGCCCACTTCTCTCCTAGCTTTAACCCTTGCTGAGATGGTTTTCTCCCTGCCTCCTTTTAACTTCTCAGGGCTCCGTGCCCACACAATGCAACCTCATTATGCTTAAACATTCAAATCCCATGATTTCTGTACTCAACTCTTATACATATACCTTCGCCTTAATAACAGATTGTGTCATTATTTCATGTTCTTAGATGATACAATTCTAAAAATGGAAAGAACTTTATATATACTGTGGCCAGTCCTGTGAAGATGGAAATACTAAGACCCAGAATGGCTTGAGATGCATAGTAGTTTAACAATGATGTTGGTTTTCTGGCTTGATGGTTGCCTGTCATAGGATCATCAGTCTGGTAGCTCAGTCACTGAAGTGCCAGGGTCACAATGCTTTGACTTTAATCCACAGGAAACTGTAGCTGCCAAGCTTTCTGTTTCGCTTTTACGTCACACCCAGCTACTACCTGCAGACAAAGCCTTTTATGAAGCAGGCATCGCTGCCAAGGTAAGCTGGGACGAGGAAAGGTGGGGTTAAAGAGGCAAGATCAAAAGTTGGTAGGTAGACTACCCCGTGTGCTCAGGTAGAACAAAGCTGAGTGTGGGGCTGATGTTATGAAGAGAGCAGCTTCCTGTCTCCCTGGACTCTTCCCCTGCATCCTGCAGAAGCAGCATCCAAGCCCAGCTACTCACTTCCACTTGCAACTTTTCTCTGTTGCAGGCAGTTGGCTGGGAGAACATGGCATTCATCTTCCTCAACCGCTTTTTAGATCTGACCGATGTGAGTAGGGAGGTTGTGCCCAGAGGTGCAGAGGTCTTACCTGTCACAAGCTGGGACTATCTGATGGCTGCTCACTCTGCCACAGGCAATCGAGGAAGGGACTCTGGATGCCCTTGACCACTCTGACTTTCAGGACACAGACATTCCCTTTGAGGTGCCACTCCCAGCCAAGCAGCACATACCGGTAAGGACACAGGATTGGAGCATGGGAGGCTTGCCAGTGTGAGTGCACTGAGAAGGGAGGACACTTTAGGATGGTCCTCCCAACCCTTTGTACCAGCCATCAGTCCACCACATCTTTGGAATGAGCTCAGTCCTCACTATTCCTTCAGTGAAAGTAGAAGCAGAGGAAAAAGCTAAGAGTGTGATTGACCCTCAATTCAAGGACCATTTATGGGTGAAAGGATGACGGCTTAGCAACTTCCCCAGTAACCATCCTCCCATGTGCCCTGCCCTGTATGAAGCTGTGCTCCCTGTGTCCTTCCCAGGAGACTCAGAGAGAAGAGGTTCGAGACTGGGTGCTCACAGTCTCAATGGACCAGCGGCTAGAGCAGGTTCTACCTCGGGATGAGCGAGGTGCCTACGAGGCTTCCTTGGTGGCAGCGAGCACTGGAGTTCGGGCACTGCCCTGCCTCATTACAGGTACAGAACCCTATAAAACCCCATATTCTATAGTTGGTAGAAAGGAGGGGGAAACAGCAGGACCAAGACACTATTTTACTGCCCCAGCTGGTTTGGCTCAATGGATAGAGCATCAGCCTACAGACTGAAGGGTTCCAGGTTCGATTCCAATCAAGGACACATGCCCAGGTTGTGGGCTCAAACCCCAGTAGGAGGCGTACAGGAGGCAGCCAATCAATGATTCTCTCTCATATTGATGTTTCTATCTCTCCCTTCCTCTCTGAAATCAATAAACATTTAAAACAAAACACTATTTTACTGATTTAGTAAAGGATGCAGAAGACAAGAACATCCCTACCCCTAAATTACTGTTTTCTCCCTCAATCCCGCTCAAACCCCAGTTCATCTTTTTTTCCTTCCCCTACAGGATACCCCATTCTGAGGAACAAAATTGACTTTAAGCGGCCAGGGACGGCAGTTAACAAGGACAACTGGAATAAGTTCCTTATGGCTATCAAGGTTAGAGCGGGGAGACTTGAATGATGGGGCAGGGAGAATATCGCACTGAAGAAAACAAACTAGGAGGATGGTGGGATTGTCAAGAAGGCAGGTGCATGCTGCTGCCTGCTGCCCATACTGATGGAGCTCATTTTCTTTATAGCAGGAATGTTTTTCTCAGCACTGATGAGTTCCTCTGATGTTCTTTCTATTTGCTTACAGACCTCGCACAGTCCAGTGTGCCAGGATGTGCTGAAATTCATCAGTGAGTGGTGTGGAGGGATACCCAGCACCAGCTTTTCCTTTCAATAACTGGTAGAGCTCAGGGAAGAATATTAAGTTCTTTCCTCATTAAACTCTTGTAACTAGCAGAGACCACTGTATTCTTTAATTAAGGTCACCCAGTGCCCTTTCCCCCCAAATCAGAGTCAAGTGGAAGAGTTCTTTTATTACAGTATTTATATCATCCTGGGGGTCAGTGGAAAGCCCTGTGGACTGAGCTTCTGGATCAGCACCTGCTTAATAGAAGGGAGAGCCTAGGTCAGAGGGCAAGCAGCATAGCAAGGGACTAGACCCAGTTCTAAATTTGTAATCCCTGCCCCTACCCTTTTCCAGGCTACAATCCTCATGGCCCATTACCTGTCCTAAGCCCAACTTTTCTGTGATGCCTGCATTTCTTGATTTTGATCCAGTAGCTGCTCATTATCCTGCTCTCTACATTTAGGATGATCAAGCTCTGTCAATTGCTCCAGCTGCAGAAGAGGGTAGAGTTAGTACTCTGGCCCTGAATTATAGTTCAGCATCTTTTCAACACAGCCAATCTGTGTTGAATGAACCCTTCCTGTTCATTTTCCTTACCTGCCCCTGTAGCCCTTCCTTCCTGCAAGGCCCAACCCCACGGAGGGTGAGTGCTGCCACACAGCAGTAACCAGACAGAGCAGCCTCCGCTGCAGACATGAGCAAAGAAGGAATCCAGAGAGCCAAGGCTGTATCCTAAAAGGTGAAGAGGAGGATGGGGGGACTCAGAGGGAGTAGGGCAAGAGTGGCAAGTTGGGGTGATTACAGGGGCAGGCCCAGGCTTTGGAGACTGCAAAAAAGCTGAGAATACACTCACATAGATTCTTGTGGGGTCAAAAGGGCAGTCAGCGTGTCCAGGCCCCTGGTCCAGCGGTAGCAAAGGGTCCAGCAGTCCTGGATGGCAGTCGGCAATAAGCCGGCGGCCACCATTGGCCACAGTGAGTGACACCGCGAGGAGGAGGCCCAGAGAGCAGGCGGTGGACAAGAGCAGGTTCACCAGAGCTACTGCCAGCAGGGCCCAGTGCTGGAGGGTCAGAAGATCCGGTGAGCAGCCTGGAGTGGCCCACGCTCCCACTCACCATAGACACCTGGGCTTCTCTAGTTGGCCTCCTCCTCCCCACTTAAAGATGAAGCTGAGTCAGCCCCTATTTCCCTGACTCAAGGCCCCCTCATTACAACTCCATAAACTACCCTCACCAGTCGTGGTTGAAGGAGATTCCTGGACGCCACGAGGGCCACAAGGCCCAAGGAAACACTCTGGAAGACACAAAGCCCGAGTGAGGCCCGGAATGCGCTCCGTGCGCCGCCGCCCACAACCCGGCCCGCCCGCCCGCCGCACTCACCAGCAGCCCGGAGCCCACGGAGATGACATTGGCAGCGGTGTACTCGGGGGTGACCGCACCGCGGGGGTTGGCTACGTGCCGCAGGACGGTGCCGTGCAGCACGGCCCCCAGCAGCAGGTTCACGTGGCCCACGAGGATCAGCGCGAGGCCCACGCGCATAAGCCGCCGAGGGCCCCGGACTGCGTCTGCGGAGCATGGGGGGAGGGGCCAGCCTGAGTCCGGAGAGGAACCGGGAAGCCCCGCGCGACCACCCACGCTAACGGGGGGCCGTGGGACTGGTTGAGGGGGGCGGGGGCAGGAAAACGAGAGCCAAGGGGTGCGAGTTACCGAATCTGCAGAGGCGGCAGCCCCTCATCGCGTCCTTCCGCGCCCGCCGCCGGGCAGCTCTACCTGCCGCAGCCCCGCCCCCGCTCGCGGGCCAGTTCCGCCCCAGCACCACCTGAAGGCCCCACCTCCGCGCCGCCCCACCTCCCGGGAAGGCGCAGACACACAGGACGCTTTTAGCAAAAAGTAGACTTTATTACAGCAGCAACTGAGGCGAACTGAATGGCCCCCGGGCCACCACGGCAGCACCACCCTCTCCCGCCCCCTCCGCCCCAGCGGGATCGTAGAAGTCAGCTCCCCGGGGCGCCCTGGGCCTCCACTCCGCACAGGCTGGGCAGGAGCCGGCAGTTCAGCTACGAGCCCCCAACGAGGCGGCTGCTGGGGAGGCCCAGGCCCACGTCTGTGCAAAACAAGTAAACAAAGTGCAGAGGGAGGAAGAGAAGGGGAAGGGGTCGGGTGATGCTCAGAACCGGGGAGCCCCAAAGCCCTCCTAGAGAACAGAGGAGAGGGGGCCTCACAGGGTAATACTGACTGGGGGGAGGGGCGGGAAGGCTGCCGGTCAGTGACAGCCACAGCTCAGGTCAGGGCCTGGCCCCAGTAAGCTCTAGGAGGAGACTGTGACAGCGGCCGAGTTGAGGGTGTTGTTCCTGGCAAAATTGAACTTGTTCAGGGTCTCCTCTAGCAGAGAAGTCAGCCGGCTCTGGTCAGCCTGAGGGAGAAAGCTCCGTGAGACGCTGAGAGAGGAACGGGGCAGCCCCGCAGCTGAAGGCAGAAACCTCACCTCACTAATGAAGCCCAGCTGCACCAGCTCAGCTGCCAGCTCAGGGATGTTCTCATCTGACAGAGAAACAGGAGAGCGTGAGTACACGGTGCAAGTGAGAGGCACGGAGCCCTTCCAAGAGCCCCAGTCGGCCTACTCTGGCTGGGAAAGAGTGATACAAGCAAAACTATCAGACTTAAATTTTAGGGGCCAGTATATTCGCGTGACGGAAGTCAGTGCGTGACTGCCCTGTCACCTTCCCCACCCCTGAGTGTGCCCCTCACAGATAAGGCTCACAGACTCCCATCCTGGGAGGGAAAGGAGAGACTCACTTGGCATCAGGTCACAGCTCAGGTGCCGGTTCAGTTTGTCCTCCAGCTTCAGCAGAAGCGTTAGCTGGGGAAGAGGACAGTCAGAAAATGAGGCTCCTCTTCTCCACCCTCTGGCCACCCAACCCCACGCAGCCCTGGCCCGGAGCCTTACGTGGTGTTTGACGCCCTCCTCCACCGACTCAATGTTGCACTGCATCAGCACCACCTGGGGAGAAGGGACCAGGGAGTGACATGGCTGCCAGGGAGCAGAAGCACATTCTTTTCTTCGAGGGACAAAGCCTTATTCGAGATGCCTTCTCCCACCATAACCATACCAACATCCATACCCACAGAGCCCCACCTTGCGGGTCTCCACCTCAGCTGGTTCAGGTGTTGGAGTCTTGACAGAGGGGGGCACCACAGGTGATGTCACCTCCTCCTGCTGTGGCTGCTGAGGCCGAGGCAGCCCAAAGGCTGTCAGGGGGTAGATCCCATTCCTAAAGGGAGATCAGACAAGTCATGTGGGCTCTGGACGCCCACCCCTGCTTCCTCAGAAAGCCGCCTCACTCCCCTCTCACCTGACATCTTCGAGGAATTTATCCAATTCCAGAGCTGGTGACTGAGAGTATCTGGAGGAGAAAAGACAGATGATGGAAGGAATCAAACAAGCAAAACAGTAGATTCAACCATTCCCAAAGAATGGACAGTTGACAGAATCCTCAGGATGGTAGTGACCAGTCTGCCCCTTTCAGACCCTCTCAGTTACTCACAAAGTCTGAACTGGCTCTCTTCCTGGTCCTGCAGGGATTTCGGCCAGTACAGCACTGGTATCCATGTTTTTGGTGATCTCCTCCAATGCATTCTCTGGAATCATGTCTGGAGGGCATGACAGAATGAGAAGTTATACAGGGATAGTCAGACTAATGTCATGTAAGGTACAGAGGTCCTGGGGGGTTAAGAATCCCTTAGCCCTGGCTGGGTACTCAGTGGTTAGAGTGTCGGCCCAGCACCAAAGAGTTGCAGAAGGCAACCAGTCAATGTGTCTCTCTTAAATCGATGTCTCTATCTCTGTCTCTGTATGTATCTCTCTCTCTCTCTCTCTCCCCCTTCTTTCCCCTCCCTCACTCCCTTCCACTTTCTCTGAAAAGCAATGGAAAAAATATCCTCTAGTGAGGATTAACAACAAAAAAAAGAATCCCTTTCGAAGCAGAAGAGAAAAGATAGCATGCCAGTGATAGTTATAAGGCTCCAGATAAGAAGAAAATTCCTAAGAGGGCCAACAGGACTCACGTTGGTGTCCCACAATGCAGTGGGCAGCAAGGAGTTTCAGTGAGGGTACTTCAAACAGTGCTGGGTGGAACAGAAGCTCTCTGGCTGTTGGTCTGCGAGCAGGCTCAGACTGCAGGCACTTTTGAATGAATTCCTGGAAAAGGGAACAAGGAAGTGGAGCAGGCAATTGGCAAGCACCCCACTGTATTCTTTATCTCTCATTATACTTAGCACAGGGCTTTGTATGTATATACTCGGTGCTCAACACTAGTTGAGGGAACCCATTGCTAAATGTTATTGGAAAGGGCTTTGAGAACTAAAGTTATAAGGTATTATTCACTGCCCTTCTGGTTTTAATAATTATTTTTCTGCTCTCCAACCATAAGCTTTCTCTTTTCTTTACAGTTCAAACTTATTTTCCTTATTTTCTACCTCTCTGCTTTATTGGCCTAACTCACTGCCTACTTATCTTCTCCAACCCTTGCCAAATTTATCTTTTCTCTTCCCAAACATATTCATTGTGGTCAATAACATTCACCATCCTTTAATTTCCTGAGCCTCGAACCACAATTTCCTTTGTCCACCACACTTATTAAATGCACTGGATTTCCCCATGCCTCTTCTAAGTCACCCCTTTCCATCTCCATAGGTCCCATGATAATCAACTTTTCCTCCTTTCAATCTTGAAGGCCCATAATGTCCTATTCCTAATCTTTCCCTTGAACACACCACCCCTAACACTGAACTGGAAACTTATTCCACACTAACCTCAAGAATTTCCATTAGTCTTCTTTCATTTCTCTCCCTTTCACACTTAATGTAATGAGCTACAAACTATCCTTGTATGGACACTCCTGTCCTGATTCCCCTTACTGCAGTTTATCTACTGACTCATAACCCTTATAATTCTTTAAGTCTTAGCTCTTTATTTAAGGTCACTTTCCCTACCTAAAACTACAGTTGACCCTTGAACAACATGAGTTTGAACTGCATGGGTTCACTTACACTTAGATTTGTTTTAATAAATACCTGTACTGTTTTCAATCCGTGGTTGGAGAGGGCAGACAGTATGCATTGATCTATGCCATTTATACAGGGGGCTTGGGCATCCCCAGAGTTTGGTATCCACAGGGGGTCCTGGAACCAATCCCCTGTGGATACCAAGGGATAACTTAAGTTTTAGGGAGTCAAAAGTTATATGCAGATGTTCGACTGCACAGGGGGTTGGTACTCCTTCCCCGCATTATTCAAAGTCAGCTGTGTGTGTGTGTGTGTGTGTGTGTGTATCCCCAAATGACTGATCAAATTCAAACTGATTTATTTAAAAATATCAAGACAACCAAAGGACTTATATGCATACATATAGGCCTAACCAATGGACACAGATAACTGGAGGGTGAGGGCATGAGCGGGGGGGGATGGGGAGGTAATGTGGGGATAAGGACACATATGTAATAACTTAATCAATAAAGAAATTTAAAAATATATATGTGTGTGTGTGTGTGTGTGTGTGTGTATATATATATATATATATATATATATATATATATATATATATATATATCAAGACAGATGTCTTAGAGCCAAGGCATTAGGGGTGAGTTAATTAAATGTTTGAGCAAATACAGCAGACTAAGTTTTAAATTGATACTTTTGTATGACCCATGAATGATGTTATAAATATCCAAATGGCTGTTGGCAGAAAAAAGGTTCTCTACCCGTGTCTTAGAGTATATACCAATTACCTGAGGTAACCATCAAATTAGTTTACCTCCATGCTGAATTAAGCATAACCTTTAACCCCAATATTACCCTTCATAAATCCTGAACTATGTGTATATACAAAACACATGGTAGTCACCACATAGGGAAATGTTTACTGTTTTTGCCTGTCCTTTCTGGTTATGTTCTCTTGCTCTTAGAAGAGAGCACATTCCCAGTAGGTAGCATGGAAGAAAAACTGAAGACATTTCCAAAGTCTGTTAAGGAGGAAGTGACCCTGAAGACTCGTACCCTCTGCAATGGGTCTTCTAGAAGCTGGATGGCACTGCTGATGGCTTCCTGTGGCACATATGAGGACTCTCCGTTGCCCTGAATCTCCAGCACTGCCATCTGCAGCGAGGGGAATAAAAAGGCAAGTGGAGAACTCAGAACCTCAGTGTTCCAAGTCACTCCCTCAAGACCAGTACTTTACTTATCCTCCTCCATCTCCCCTTCCATCTTCTGATCTGACCCCTTTCCATCACCACCACCCCTCCTTGATGTGGTTTCCTCACCTCTAGTGCACACATGCCAAAGGAGTAGATGTCTACTGCCGTTGTCACATTAGTGACTTCTAAGGAAAACAGAGAAGGCTTTGGTGAATAAGGATGGGAGCAGGGTTGGCAGAAATGCCTTTTAAAAAAATTTGTATGCCAGTAGAGAAGGACTAGCAGTTTCAGTTATGTTATTTCTGTGGAAAACAGGATGGGGAGAGGGCAAAAAACTGGAATGCCTCACCTCCGTATTCTGGTGCAAAGAAGTGTAGATTCTTCTGCTCTTCCCGACAAGTCTTCACATGGTTGTTGATAGTGTCAGGAGCCACTGGGAGTAGGGGAGATACCCACAATCTAACCACCATGAACGAAGAAGTCGCACTCCAGAGAGGCCCCCAAAAGCCAAATTCTCTCTGAAGTCTCCAACCCTCAAAAGGCACAAACCCTTTCCCATCAACTACAGACTACACTGGAGTACCACCTACCTCCCCTTTCTCAGTCTACCACTTCTCATCGAAGGTCCCT